TAGGCAAAACTGCGAATAGCAACTTCTACTACCTTAGTGCACTACTGTATACCTATACCAAACAACTGACCAGCCGCGGCAGCACTCATCCCCTCTTTTAACTTGTCTAATAATTCAACTTTCTTTGTCACTGACTTCTGCCTTTTACATTTCACTTCACTAGCATCACTAGCACCGACACTAGGCAGTCTTTTAGGGGTCATTTCTCACAGGAACACGAAATTTTTGAGAGTACAACACAAGATGCTGCATGGGGTGACTTGTTGTGCTGCGGGAAAAGGCTCGCAGGCTAGTCACCATCTGCTTACCGTGAATCGTACAAATCACGAATTACAAACCAGCGAATGCCAAGGGTTTACTGTACTTCAGTATACCAGAGTGTTCTAATGTCAGTGGAAAGAATAAAATGTTAAATGGATAAATTTAGCATTTCTTCAGATAAAACCTCATCAAATATCAAATCCAGTGAAAACAAAACATCTCAAAAAGTATATACAGAAACAAAAACCACATGTCTTGCCTGGGCCTTACAATCTCGCACTACATCATAACAAATGGCACAGTTCCCAGTAACTTTTGTGTCCTCCACTGCAAGTATTTCACTTTTTATGTTATAATTGGCTTATAATCATTATGATAATGGATCCTATGTGAAAAGAAAGAGTAAAGGTGTTGAGGCCCAGATCATAAGGAAAGTCCACAAGTGTCATATGGCTCATTCCTTGAACTTAGAATTTTCTTCATTTTTGAATAAAGACAAAAGCTAAGGTGCTCCATTGTTTCCCTTTTTCCTGTGTGATTTTACCAAGATACTAGAGGCATTTTCAAATTAGGTTTGGTAACACTGGTGACTGGGTGACTACTGGACACAGTCATGGTTAAATTGTTGATATGTTTTATGTTGTAAATAGCAAAGGAATTGTTCATATTTTGACCAGTGGAACTTTTTATGTTTAGTATACATTTTAGTGTGTAATTGATGCAATGTAAGGTCTGTCACACTGTTTATAGGTGTAAAAGTTGCCATAATATGTGGTGCCCAAAACTTAACTTTTATTTTACCAATATTTGATGATGAAAGACATTACAAAACAAATAAATTAATCTTTGGAATATATATTTTTTTAATGTACAAATTATACTGTATAATGGCTGTACTGTAATATGATATACTGTACTGTATACTATGGGGTAAAAGTTGCAATAATGATGGTCTTAATGGTTCCTGGACTATAACCTTTATTTTTCCATTACTTAAGGCTTCTTAATACTGTATGTAGTAGGAGCACGGCGGCTGAGTGGGTACAGTGCTCGCCCCGTGTTCCAGGGATTGGTGGTTTGATTCCCGGGCACTCCCAGTTCACCCAATTGTAAATGGGTACCTAAGGTTACAAATTGGGGAAGTGAAAGTGGTCGAGAGCAATACCTAAGGCTTAGTCTTTAGTGTGCTGTATCCACACTGTCCCTAATGGGCCATTATGTCTTTGGACACACTTTCACTATTCAGTAAGTCAGTGATGATAATTATTATTATTTTACTGAGACAACACAAAAACGGAGATTCTGCTGACCTAAACCATTTCTTAAACACCCAATAATATCATTGCAGAATGTCACTTTCTGGGGTACACACTGTGTTAGTGGTGTGGATCTCACTTCCTCATCTTGATCAAAAAGTGAGATTTTATATTGAAGCTCTTTTTCTGGGTGGAAAGAGATCAAGACCTGACTTGAACCTATTCATCTCACTGACATCCCATTTGATGCAAGGAATGAGTTGACAACTAAGTCATGACAGGTTGAAAGAGCCTGTTGTGTGAGTTAGACTAAGAAAGCAAATAGTACTGTAGTGTGCCGACTCATCAGTGTCACTGGTATAAACTACTACTGTGTTAGATAGGGTGGAATCAAAGGCATTTCGTCTTATTAATTCTCCTCCTTTAGTCGATAATCTCTCTTCACCGCAATGTTGGTTCACTCTCCCTTTTACAGGCACAGGGGCCCCCAAGTTAGCAGATTTTTATTTCGCGGTCTTCTATTATTCATGGATGACACCCTGGTTGTACCCAAGAATGTCTGTGGGTAGTTTTAAAGTTGCCAGCATTTTTGCGGTTGGGACAGGGAGCCATTCGTTCTAGAGACAGTAATTTCCTTTACCTATATTGTAAATGTGTGTGTGTGTGTAGACTCACACACACAAAACACATACAAATAAATAATACAGTGATATCTCCGTTAGCCAGAACAATTGGTGCAGGGCACTTCTGGGAATGAGAGATTTCTGGGTAACGAGACGCCTCTCTCAAAGCTGGAAAAAATTCCTCATTCCCGGAATTTTCAGGGTAACGGAAAAAATTTTCTCGGAAGTTCCAGAAATTTCCCATTACATCATCTCTCAAACCATGAAAAAAATCCCTCATCCCCGGAATTTTCCTAGTAACGGAAAAATTTTCTCAGAATTTCCAGAGAATGTGCCTGATTTTCATCTCTCAAACCCAGAAAAAAAACTCCCCCATCCATGGAATTTTCCCAGTGTGTACCAGGAAAATTTTTTCTGAATTTTCTGAAAAATGTGCCCCTCAGAAAATCGTTTCCAAAGCCGGAATTTTCGGGAAAATTCTGGCTTTGGGAATGATTTTACAAGAAAATTTCAATTCCGGCTATTGGAGAGTCCCGGGTTTGAGGGATTCCAGCTAACGGAGATACCATATTACTAATTGGTAAATACTCTCACAAATAATCAGAAACAAATTTATTAGAAATGTAACAGTCTACCCTCAAGTCCGTGCTTTATTACTTTTTTAATAGAGCACGGACTTGAGGTTAGACTGTCACACATTTTTATAAATTTGTTTCTGATTATTTGTGAGAGTATTTTCCCATTACAATAGAACGTCAATTTAAAGCGATTCAAGATTATTGATTTAAAGCAATACCCACAATTAAGGACAATTTTTCAATTTAAAGCGAATCTTTCCTATTTTGTGCGAGTCAATCTGGTGCATCATATTTTAAAATTTTGCGCCTAATGTTTCTCTGGGCACGCTACACTGTCCTAAGGGCAAAGCTGTACTGTACATGTACTCAAAATAATGTACTAAATGATTACTAATAAAAATTTCTAGTGCAAACTATAGCAATTTTATATTCAAATTAATCACTATCTTATAAGAATTCCAGCAATGTTAATTATATTCTCCCATGTCAGTTCAGTGACATTTTATAAGAGAAAAACTTAGTCACTCTTAAGGACAGATAAATAAATAAGCACTAGATCTTGGCATCAACTGTCAAACATATCAACTCATCTCCCTCCCTCCCCCCATCTTCCCAGCCAGTAAACAGACCATATCACATTCCATAATTTTAGCTGTGTTGATTTAAGAGTGTTTGTTTTAACATAATACTACAAAAAACAATGTTTTTGTTGATTCTAGGAGATGGGTTGAGGTGCATCTGGGTAGACTCTCAGTCTTTTTAATATTTTGTGTTTCTCTCAAGTACCAAACTAAATTTTTCCATTGAAACAACACTTCGATTTAGTGCGAATTCGGTTTAAAGCGACCTCTCTTGGAATGTGTCTCGTGTTAAATCGACGTTCTTCTGTATTATTTATTTGTACGTATATGTTTTGTGTGTGTTTGTTTACATACACACACACACACATATATACAATATACAATACAGGTAAAAGAAATAATTGTGCTAAAGGCAAACACATAAAGGGAATATGCATTTCTTTGTACACAAGTAACAATTTAACACCACCCCCCCCCCCACAAATGTTATTCGCGGCCATTTTGAGAACCTAACTCCTGCGACTTTGGGGGGCCCTTTGTACTTTAATGGCCAATGTTCGGTGGACTTGGCATCCTGTGTACCACCGGCAAGGCAGTGGGCTGGGCTTGTAACACTCATCTTGCCCGCGGTGCCCACCATTTCTGTGTGGATGTCGGTCACATTAGAATAACCCATTAAAGTACATCCTTCTTTCCTTACACAGCCAAACTGGGGAATGCTCTGCCTTCTTCTGTGTTTCCATACTCTTACAATCTGTCTCACTTCAAAAAGCTGGTTTTCCAGCATCTTCATGGAGTAGATTAATATACAGTAGTCCTTTTCTCTTCTATTTTTAATTTATTTTTACTCTTATTTTTTCGCCCCCAGGCCCTGTTGTGGGTTGATGACCTGTGCCGGGTGAGCTATTCCCCACAAAAAAATATAAAAAATTCACGTTATGTAGTTGACTGAAAACATAAGTACTGTATCACCATTGCTCAGTCACACTAGTTAGGCAGCAGTACAGGCACTAACTGTCAAGTGGTATAAGCAATAAATCCCACCTTCATCGCTTCCCAACCATAAAACGAGATTTAACCAAATCAGTCCCTTCAACTTTGTTTAAAAAAAAACTAACATTTTTGGTGAAAGTTATGTGGTAGCATTATGATACTGTACTTAAGATTTTAGGTACTGTATTGTACTAGTGATGGGACTGTTCTCCAAATTTCTTGTACATAGCGTAGTTAAATAGGCGTTTCAGCTAGGGTGTGTCTACGTGAAGTAAAATGTATTTATCACAATATAGTGTACAGTATACAGAATAACTTAAATCAGCTACTGCACCAAATCTTGGGTGTTGGTGTTTATGAAATTTATTTGAAGACTTTTGCCAATATGAAAGTAATATTTTATGCTGACATGGTCAGTAAATGACAAATACCTGTACCTGTATTGCATGGTAACAAAAAAATAAATGAGAGTAAATGAAAATCAAAATTTTTTAAATTTAATTGATTCATTATCATTATCATTATACATTACTGTATAATGTAATATGACTTCAAGAAAGAGTGGTTGCCATTTCACCAATGTGTTTCTGGTATTTTACATTTGCATGCTGTTACAAAAAGATAAAATAATTTGTAACTGTATATAATTTGATAGTATTTAGGAAAGTACTGTATGAATAGATTTTCAAACCTGATTACTTTTTGCAGGGGCGAAATGTGTCCAATGTCACAAAAATGATTGAACGTATAAGACAATACAATAGAAGTCACCAGGACTGTGGCTGTATCACCATTTCTGTTGAAATCGAAAAGGCAAAACCTGAGCTTGAGTCCCTCATTCCCTTACCTGATGTACTTTTTGTATCCAAGGATTATGCTATGTTTAAAGGATATTCCAGCATGGCTGAAACTGTCAAGGAAATTCAGGCTCAAGCTATTCCAGGGTGAGTTATTGGTTGTTTCCCTCGTGTCTCACTACAGTATGTCATTACATTGTAGAAATAATTATCTTTTAACTTGACACCAGAACACAGTGACCCTTGAGTATGAATGTCCAAACCTCATGGAGTTTTAGCAAATTCCTTGGCCATATGTGAGGTAATCAGATGAACACTTACTTTCCTGTAACAGTGGTCACTCATATGAGAGATAAGAGGTCATGGTAGGAGGCGAGTTTGCTAGCACTATACCACTGACACCTCACTACCTGATCCACCTACAGATCAACAATTTTTAATGAGTACAACATAGCATCTATGAATAAATCATGTATGAAATTTACATTTACAGGTGCATATCAGCACTTTCCCTTCCCCCATTGGATAACATTAAAGTCTGCTATAACTGAGATTGAAACCTGGAATGAGTTTTTCTTTTTCCTTAAAAGAATTATGGGATGCATCTCTCTCTCTCTCTCACTCATAGGGAAAAGTTACAACAGGAAATATAGGTAAAAATTGGATTAATCTCAGCTGTTAGCATTTACCTGGGTCTTCAGTCCTGTAGACTTAGTAGGTAGTACAGGAGCTGCCAGGTCCAGGCTTAGTTATAAGATAGGAATTCAAGGTCAATCCTTCATTAATAACATTATAACCATTGTGAATTTTAATTTGCTACATACTGTAGTATATTTATGTTTTGTGTATGTGTGTGTGTTTTTGTTTGTCCACCTTGTACTCCTCTCATTTGTTTATTTCTGTCCTGACCACTCTCCTTTTATTGGGAGTCCTTGTTCCATTGATCCAGGCATGCATATTGGAATAGAGCAAATACAGAACAGTACTGTAGATAGAAAGACTGTAGTTTATTTTCACCAAGGTTGTTAATTGTCATTATCATAATAATAATGTTACTGGCTTTCCATTTAGGTCTCTGGTGATTTGTCCATGGGGAGAAGATGGAGCAAGTGCAAGTAACAGTGTTGGTAAATTGGTGCACAGTCCAGCCTTTCCTCCACTCCACGTAGTAGACACACTGGGAGCTGGTGACACCTTCAATGCTGCTACCATATTTTCCCTTTCAAATGGACACACTCCCAAAGAAAGCATAACTTTTGGGTGTCGCATTGCAGGTTTAAAAGTTGGTGTTACAGGATGGGAACCCCTCAGAAAAATGGCCAAGGATGGAACTTTGTGCCCAATTGTAGAGAATTCTAGTGAAAGAAGCGGTGTGGTCATTAAGGCTACCTGATATATGGAGGGTGCTGCTCTGGGTGGACACGAGGGCCATGTTGAGGGCGTGGTTTGTGCAGCATGGGTGTATCTGTTGGTGCTTCTTGTAGTCTGGCAATTTCTTTTCACAGATAATGAAGATGAGAATGAGTGGGTTTGATGATTGTTGAAAACTATCAGTGGGACTTCTCTTAGTAGTGCTGTTTCTCTGTTAAATGATTGCCCAGATTAACTGTAAAACATAATTCAAGGTAACTCTTGCTTTTGAGGTAGTCTATTGTTATTTGTCTTTGGCTATGGCATAAGGAGTACAATATTCATGATGACATCATAATTTAGAAGTACATTTATAACACAGAAACTCAGTGGTGAATCTTTTTTATTTTATTTTTTTTCACTACAGTATTCACGAGATACAAGTACAGTAATGTATTGAGTAGTTGCCTGTGTATCATGTTACATATAAAGTCATGTGTAATAGAGATATTTTCTTTTTTATACATTAAATTATATCAGACATGCGTAGATATACAGTGCTGTGTGTATATTTTTACCCGTCCAGTTTTACACATGCCTTAGTCATATGTTAAAAAGTCTACCTTTATAGTACAGATTAATTGTTTTCAGCTTGTTTGTGGTTTTTTCCTCCTCCTCGCCAACCAACCATTGGGTTAATGTACATTTTGTCTTCAAAATGAGGTCACTGACCTCATTTCTGTAAAACCCTTTACAATATATGCTACTCCTCCCACACTGTTTTATTGGGGGATAACTTCCTTTGGGAACAAGGAATCTTCCATGAGATGGATGTGTAGCCGCATCTTGACCTCTGACTTACTTATTGAAGCTCAGGTTTTACTGACCATAATTCCATAAAATATTATATGTTAATTCTTAAACTGCGATTTGCATCTCTGGCTACCTCTGCTGTGCGCAAAAATTTAGTTCTATAGATTTTAAGATTTGTACTGTACCTTTATGTAAATGATAATACTGTTTACATACAAAACAAAAGGTAAACACAATATAAGTTGAGTATGTTTTCTGTACTTACACTTTTAGTAGGGCTGGCAGGCTGGTAAAGTTACCTCCATGAAGTTCCTCTTGTCTAGTTTACTGCATTTTGTAATAATGTTCCTTCCCTCGGCATGGCCACCACTAGTTGGGGTGTCAATTAATTAAATAATACAGAATTACAATACAGTACAGTGACCCCTCGGTTAACGAACTCAATCCGTTCCAGAAGGTCGTTCGTTAACTGAAAAGTTCGTTAACCGAAACCATTGTTTCAATGGGTTTATGGGTAATTGGTTCCAGCTCACCGAAAATTTCCTAAATTCAACAAAAATGGTAGAAAAGTTCACTTACTTTGGGGTGTGTATGTAGAAGGCTCCTGGATGATGATGTGCATTTGAAGTGGGAGGTGGAGGAGAAGGAAGAAGAGAAGGCATTGGGGTGGAAGAGAAGTCACCCCATGGCACCATTTCACCCATAAAATTTTAGTTCTCTTGGTGTATTTCAAGATTATTTTCTTTAAATCAACACTGCACTGCATTATATATTGTCAATATGTAAAATATATTTCAAAATGACCAATAATTTGCTTGGAAACACAGAAAAAAAGCATTTAGTTGAAGAGAGTCTCAAGCAAGATGTTACCTCCACTGAAAACAGAGAGAGACTAACGCCTGTTTGCTGTGTTAAGAGGCTGGATGCCGCGCATTAAACTAGTCACTTTACCTTCAATTACGTTCAATAATTGTTAAAATGACTAAAAAATTGAATATTAAACTTAAAATTATTGAATAGTATAAACTTCTTGATATTTACTAAAATAGTAAGGAATTTAAGCCCTAGAACCGATTAATGTATTGGCGGACTGATACTAAAGCTGGTTGCCCGGTCAGTGCAAGCGAAAACATGTTGAGGTCGGTTCGTAAGAAATTCGTTAACTGAATTGAAGATCCTTATGGAAGGCAGTTTGTTAACCGAAATTTCGTTAACCGAGGCATTCGTTAAACGAGGGGTCACTGTACTGTATTTAGCACTTAAAATGTTTATTAACAAGAAAACTCGTATGCACACAAAATATTCATTTATTGTATTGATGGACATTTCTTCACTGTAATTACAGTTCATTATTTACTCTTTGACCTCTTTTTAGTATATTTTTAGGGTATGAAACTCCCTAAAATATATTGCGACATATTCTATACTGTACTTAGACATCACATTCTATTTTTTTTGCTATTTTGATAGTATAATATACTGTATAGGTATGTGGAATTCTTATGCATGGCACCTCCACCGTAAGAGGTTGACAGACACGAGAAAGGAAGGGGATACCCACTCAAGGCTACCCAGTTGATTACAGCATGCAATCAGAGTGATGTCAATCCACACTTAAGTTTAAATTTAAATCATCGTGCGGATAGCAGTTTTAAGGACAAATTGCAAAGATACCCATTCTCAATTGTGCACCTATTATAGGGTAGGTTTACATGCTGGACTTGACCTCCATCTTGCCCTCAGTTTCAGATTGCACTAACTTTTGCCTTTCTCTCAGTCTTTATGTATAAAGTTGCAGCAGCCTCTTGTATAACTGATGCAGTGTAAGTAATTAAGGATTTCAAAATTAAGACCAGTGTTATTACTATTGAATACGGTCATCTGAACACTTTGTCTATACAGTGGTTAAACTGTTTAACAATCAGAGTGTGGGGCTTAATGGGTGTGAACTGTCATCTCTGTAATAATGATTTGATGAAGCAAAATTGTCAGTCGAGGAAATGCACAAAATATATTCCAGGTGTTCATTCCCATATTTATAATAATCCATTACTTAAGTACTGTATGGCCTCACAGGAAGTGATAGATCACACTACAATAACACTTCTGTTTAAAAAAAGTAAATCTTCCAGTTATTACTGACCATTCTATCTTTCCAAGAAAAATCTGTGTGATACTGAGAAAATATAACCCACAGCAAAGTGATGTACAATAAAGTATTTAAATGATGTCAACAGTGGGCAAAGGAAAGTGAAAAAGTTAGGAAGTACTGGTGTCATTAGTTAAAAAAATTTTATTAAAAAATTAGGAACACAATGTAGGTCAGCTACTTAACAGTTCTGGTTTGTATGAAGTTATGAATACTAATTACTCTGTACATATTGAAGTGCAAGTGATTGGCTCTGCATTTCCAAAATAAGTTTACTGTATATTAAAATCAAGGTTAATTCACCATTTTTTCATTCATCAATAAGTAAACAAAGAAGCACACAGCTAGATTCTGAGGTTGGAGTACTGTAGAAGTGTCGGTTAATGAGAAAAACTGAAAATGCGTTTGTCATGTATTGTACATCACAAACTCAAACTATCTTTATCTTTTAACACATAAGTTACCTTCTAGAAAACCATAAACTTAGCTTAAATCCCAAAATATTAACACACACAAAAAAATCGTAAGATTACAGTACAGAGTGGTCCCCGGGTTACGAACATGTTCCGTAACTGAGGACGTTCTTAAGTTGGAAATGTACATAAGTCAGAACACCTGCTATGTGCATACCGTACTTACAGAACAATGTTTAAAATACCACTATATCATAGCCTAAGTCATTACATACATCTAAAATCACTTAATTTAAGAGAAAAAAAAATAGAATGACAAAATACAGTAAATGAAAGTAAAGTTTAAGTCATCAGGTAGATAAACAAAATTTAAAGTTTAAGCTCGTTCATATCAGCAGGCATTCGTAAGTCAGATGTTTGGAAGTCGGGGACCCCCTGTATAAGTAAACATATTAAACATCCAAGAGATGGCAAAACAAGCCTGCTAATGTAGGACTGAAATGTTCCAGTTCTGAAAGTTCTGAAGGTCGCAAAAACAAAGTCTAATGTCACGGCCAAGGGAGATAAAAATTTACCCAAAGACTGAATTCAAATTGCACAGCCAATTTGTGCAAAATGTCGTACTTCTATAGCCAACTGTAGCAGCCATATAATTCCTAATCCAGTTGCAGTAAATTTCTCTGTCAACATTGTTACACATATCTCAAGTTATGTACAGTATTACTCGGAGTTTGAGATTGCATGCATGTTTATTTAAATATTATGTGTGTTGAACACTTTGCCAGGGACGCTAAGATATGAAATATGAAACAACGTTAAGTGATTACTTCCAGCCACTTATCTAGGTCACCTTTATCACTGATAACTGATAAGATATGGAACAGTAAAACCAAAATAAATGAGCAAGAGAAATTTAGGATATTAACAATAACAAAGACTACAGTACAGCGTATATTAATTTGCTAGATAAATTGCTTAAGTATGTGCTGAAGCCCAACAGCAATATTACTGTGATAACAAAGGTGATTAAAGTATAATAATTTTGTACAGTACAGGGTATAAGCTTTACTTTACAGAAGTCTTGTGTTGTGATGCCACCACCATTGGAAACTGTCTTGTGTAGGAGCCACCATGGTAACAGATGGTCCACCAGATTCTCAGAGATAGAAATGTACCCCAGCCATAACCATTAGACAAAAGAATGTAACATACTGTACTGTGCGCAGTCTTATTAAACCTTTTATTAAGTTTCATCCACAATAACTCTGCTACAGTATATTTTGCTGAGAGCTGGATGTCATTCTTAGCATATTCACTCCTTGGTTATAACTGCTGCCTCTGTCACTCCTTGGTTGTAAATTTGACATCACTGCTGCCTCTGTCACTCCTTGGTTGTAACTGACATCACTGCTACCTGTCACTCCTTGGTTGTAACTGACATCACTGCTACCTGTCACTCCCTGGTTGTAACTGACATCACTGCTGCCTCTGTCACTTCCTGGTTGTAACTGACATCACTGCAGCCTGTCACTTCTTGGTTGTAAATTTGACATCACTGCAACCTGTCACTCCTTGGTTGTAACTGACATCACTGCTGCCTCTGTCACTTCTTGGTTGTAAATTTGACATCACTGCTGCCTCTGTCACTCCTTGGTTGTAACTGACATCACTGCTACCTGTCACTCCTTGGTTGTAACTGACATCACTGCTGCCTCTGTCACTCCTTGGTTGTAACTGACATCACTGCTGCCTCTGTCACTTCCTGGTTGTAACTGACATCACTGCAGCCTGTCACTCCTTGGTTGTAAATTTGACATCACTGCTACCTCTGTCACTCCTTGGTTGTAACTGACATCACTGCTACCTGTCACTCCTTGGTTGTAACTGACATCACTGCTGCCTCTGTCACTTCCTGGTTGTAACTGACATCACTGCAGCCTCTGTTACTCCTTAGTTGCAACTGTGACATCACTGCTCCCTGTCATTCCTTGGTTGTAACTGACATCACTGCTGCCTCTGTCACTCCCTGATTGTAACTGACATCACTACTACCTGTCACTTCTTGGTTGTAACTGACATCACTTCTGCCTCTCACTGCAGCCTCTGTCAATTCTTGGTTGAAAGTGACATCACTTCTGCTTCCTGTCATTCATTGGTTGTGACTATGACATCACTGCTGCCTCTCATTGGTTGTAACTGACATCACTGCTGCCTCTGTCACTTCTTGGTTGTAACTGACATCACTGCAGCCTCTGTCAATCCTTGGTTATAACTGACATCGCTGCTACCTGTCATTTCTTGGTTGTAACTGACATCACTGCTGCCGCTGTCACTCTTTGATTGTAACTGACATCACTTCTGCCTCACTCATTGGTTGTAACTTTGACATCACTGCAGC